CATTTTATATATTTTATTTTTCCTTATGTTATTGGATGCTATGTAAGTTTATTTTGTATTTCCCTATGATGAAAAACAACCCATGATCATGCTTGGGTTTGGTGCTCTAGGAAGTTGATGTAAAACGCACTTGTGAAGATGAGTTGCTTACAGAAATTTGCACGCTTAATATTTCGAGAACAATATTAAATAAAACTTATGCCGATTTAAACGCTTAAGATAAAACAATAAGACGATGAAACAAGCTTAGGCTAAATTACATGCATACGAGTTAAGATCGTAAAGTAGCCAATTTAATCTAACATTGCATACATGAATGATTTTCAACTATAAATCCCAATGCTAATAATAAGATTAGGCACGATGCAAGAATCCCTCACTCAACTCTCTAGTAGTATTAGGTTTTAGCGAAGGAGAACTAGCATGCACATAGTGAATCAAGTACAACCACAATAGAGTAATAGACTAGGAAGATATGAGAGTTGGGGAAGAGTTCACCCATAAACGATGAGATGTGAAGCTCTAGTGTGATCATTGGAGTGTTAGAGGAGAAGTAGACAACAATCTGACATTTCCTAGCTGCCTTGAACAACCTTTGGGAGCCTCGCCAATTAGCGGGGTAGCAAGGGGACGGTGCGGGCTCCTCTGGACAGCAACCACAGTAATTGGGACAGCAGTCTGGAGTTGTGGAGAACTCCAGACAGCAAGTTCTCAGCTCACAGAATTCTGGACAGCGACTTTTCTCCAGAAAATCAGACTTTGGTTGATTCGTTTGACGGGAAAGTGATGGTGAATGGGCTCAAGGACTTCCCCATGGTTTTCTCCTCGTGAATTAATTCTGGGAGCTAGGGAGAGTGGTAGGCGGGTAGAGAGAAGGGTTTGAATGCTTGCCTATTCAATGATTTCAATTAGGAATGAGTAAATTCAATCAATCCCAATTTGAATTTGAATTGGACTTAATTTAGGGATTTAAATGGGGAGCATTAAAGGCGTAATTAAAAGAGAAAGAGGGATGGAGTGGGTCGGCCTAGAGAGGGGGGGGGGAATTGTGTCCACATTCAAAGAATGTGAACCAATGCATTCATTGCAAGTGGGAATTAGTCTGATATATTTCTGATTTAAGGTGATTTGGTGGGATTTATTTTGAATTTTTGAATTCAATTAAGTGGGATGGGAGCCTTTAATAGGAAGCAATAGGATTTAGCACCAATTAATGGGTGGCCGGACGGCATCACGAGGGGAGGATGGTACGGGTAAGATTTGAATAAGTTCATTAAATGAGGTTTGCCAGCATAGGAAAGAGATAAACAACCTCTTTAATTTAAAAATTAAATCGATTGAAATTTAAAAACTTTCTCCTTATTTGGGAACTTTGCAATCTAGGAAAGTTTTTAAAAATTCAAATTAATTTCAATGATGGGTAAAATTTTCCTATCTGCTTGACTCGCTCTAGAGGAAGCCATGATGACGTTTGGAGTATGCACAATGGTAGGTGAGCCATGTAAGGGGCGGTGGCCAAGGGAAGGTGGAAAGGAGTTGGGGTCGGGTTGGAGGAGAGGCGTTGGGCTGTTGGTTTGAGCTTGAGGTGGTGGAATTGGGAGAAATTTGGGTGGGGGGGGATGGCCTGGGTGGAAGAGCTAGGAGGGGTCGGCGGGTGGAATGGGGAAAAGGGAGAAGAAGAAGAAAATAAATTAAAACCACGAGTCGCGGACTCTTCCAACGACTGGTGGGTATTGCGCTTGCTCTTCTTGTGCTCTCTCTCCCTTCTCTCTAGTGCTCACACAAGAAGAAGAAGAAAACACATGAAATATTCATTATCAAATCATCATCCCAAATTACAAGTGAGCTAGCATATAAATAGGCCTTATGAAAAGAAAAAAAACAAAGACTTAAATGTCCTTTGGGCTACAACACCACATGACCACCCCTAGGAGTAAAATGAGAAAAGAAAAAAATAAAAATAAACTAGTACATAAGACACATAAAAAATAATAAACTCCAGATCGTAGCCGTTGATCTTCCGATGTCCTCATCATTCTCTCCGGGTGGGAGAAAACTCGACTCCGTCGAGTGGGTGTCTCGAGAACTTCTCGTGCATTTGGGTCGATCTGCTGTAATTCCTCGCGCTCTGACCACGTATCCTCTGACTCTGGTTTTCCACTTCACCTAGTCAAATATCTTCTTTGTCCAACCTCTTTTGTGGAAATAATGTCATCACTCAGAATCATGTCAACCTTCTCCGCTATAGGTATTTTGGGAATATAATTTTTTGGGAGTGGAGGTAGGCTTTGGGGTTCTCATAAGGTGGGGTCACACAAGGCTTAATTTGAAGTGGATTTGGGGTTTAAACTCTGGACCTTCATAGGCCTACTAAATCTTCTATGTTAGAAAAAGAATGAATGTTGAACTCTGCAAGCAGATCCACCATGTAAGCTTTGTCATTGATTTTATTGACTATTTTAACTAATCCCGCACTTCTAACATGTAATTCCTTTACAGTTCCTTGTGGGAACCGCGCTGGACGAATCCACACCATCTTTGAATCACCAACCTCAAAAGTTTTAACTTGTCGTTTAAATTTAGCATGAAGTCTATAATTATTATCGTTCTATTCAATTAGGCGTGCAATTTCCTTAAGTAGGTGATGCAAATGCGATGTAAATGCGGCATGTGCTATGCGAATTCATATGTCTAAAATTCAAGACTCAACAAGATAAATAATATGTGAATGAAGTGGTGCAAGGGGCTTGATATGCAAGATGAGTTAAATGAAACGTGGATTCACACACAAATTTTAAACATAGAAAATTTTTGAAAGATAATAGACTACAAAAACGCACACAACATACTAACTCACAAGTACACATAGATGGAATAAAGACAGAAGAGTCACGAAATGAGGGGATCTAAAGTGTTCAGGTCTAAGGGAATTGGTGTAGGGGGAGCAATGAAGACGTCCTTAGCTACCAAGGCATTTCTATAGGAAGTTTTAGTTAGGGTCGTAGGTAGTCTCCTAGGGGCAACGGGGTAATCTAGCAAATTCATCCAACTAGGAAAGAGATGGTCCTTAACAGGGAAGGACAAGAACATAGCGGGCAAAACGAATGAATCAGGAACAAGATAAGATGATGGGTCCTGACTCACAGCCATAATGGGATAGTCCAAAGAGTCATCAGCAGGTATGTGACTCAAAAGACGGGGTAAAGTTTCCAAAACAGATGTGGACACAACAGTTAGAGAGATGTCATGAGAGTATGGGCTAACACTCTCTCTAACATTAAAGTCGGTATGAAGACTGGAGAGGTAAGCCCAATCAAGAAAGACACACTCGTTCAACTGTAAATCTAGAGGAGCAACTCCTAAAACAGACTCCAATAAAACTATTTTCGTGATTTGCATGTGAGGTGACCTTACAAGGTTGTTTTGAGAGTATTTTAATTTAGTTGTTTGGTTATTTTGTGTGCCTTCTTATCAATTTTCTAAGTTTTGTTTCCTATTTAGTTTCCAATATTTGTGTATGTTTATGTTATATTGAAAGGGAGCGTTGTCAATTGCATTCCTAGTGTTCTCCTACTTGTTTTAGAACCTAGATTGCATAAAAAATAGACCCTTGATTCAGATCTGCTATTACATGGTTTGGCTTCTTGTAACTAGCCTATGATCGCTTGGGGTTTTTGTGAGTTGATTTGTCCTATTTGATTGTTTGTATTGCATCAGAGTGAGAGCCCTCAATTGGCCTCTAAAATAATTTTATTCATTAATGTTCAATTATAAATACTAGTCCTCAATCTTTATTTATAGAAATATGATTACAAATATATGCTAAATAATTTAAATTCAAACCTAATTCTATCTTAAATCAAATCTAATCTTAACAAAATATTTAAATTGAAATCTTGTATTATCCAGAAGGATAATTCAACCTAATAAAATAAATTTAATAAAAAAAATAGAAATTCATCCAAAAATAAAGTCCGAAGAGGCTCAAAAATTTATTTTTTTTCAAAATTTTTTGGTATCCTGATCTGTACTTTTTGACTGGCTTATGAAAAATCGGTCTTTTTGGAAATGTACTATATGAATAATGAACTAAGATATGTGTTGGCAATGAACAATTCAATCACATATTGCAACCCATAACTTAATATAGAAGGGGAAGAATGAATAAAAAACAGAATTGAAGTCTAAAACTTGATTCATGGCATTGATTCTTAGAAAATGTCTAGACTCTCACTGGAATATGAAGAGTACTTCACACCCATTGAAATTTTCATTAAGAAAAAGCTAAAGGTCTTAAGAGAGTTTTTGATCCCTTACGTATAGTATGATGTGAAAAGACAGAATAGTGAAATAGTGACTAGAAAACCCATAATAATTGCATGAGGCTTGGTGCATGCGATTGAATAATTTATATGGTTTTATTTTGTCAAATTTACCGTACAATCGATGCATCTTAAGGTCACGGAGTCAAACATAGCATATGATGGCGAATTAAATATTTAGGATTTGAAGTGTAAGTTACAAGATTTATCATCGTGCCTTACAATGATCCTGCATGGTGTAGAATTCATGGATGTGCCGTATGTTCGGTCAACCCCGGATATCAAATATAAACTAATATATTCTCTAGTATGCTGTATGCTATCAGTGAAACATATTGGATGGGAGTTGGGACATTCTTTTAATTATAGTTTGCTTACCTAAACCTCAATTGCATACTAAGACGTAGTATTAAATCTAGTTAATTTAAATATATCTCAAAACAGGATAAATCAATACAAGATATTGAGGTTGTGTCCGACTGCAACTGTAGTTTTGGGCTCCATATCATTATCCAAATTGACAGTGCAATTTGAATGTATATATGAACATATAACTTTTGTTTTTATTGAAGTATGTGTTTTGTACCTGTGTGATGCACTGCATATGGTAAGACTCACACCCTTGATCTTTTTTTAGCACAACTCTGGGCTCACATTTTTATTGCTGTTTTCATCCAGTCTCAGTCATCACAGACCTTTCCAAAGAAGACTATGATGATGCTGAAAGAGATAAGGTATCACATTCATAATTTATATATTTATTTATCTTTGTAATTTTTCTGATATCATAAATTCCTTTGGTAAGAAGTCCTATTGGATTATGGGCCTATTTGAATATATATATTTTTTCTAATGAAGGGATTTTGTTGGCATACTTAATGGATTGTCACAAGAGTTCAATATTCAGAATTTTCTGCGTCTTTATGTAGAATCATTGATTGATTGCAGGTGGTTTACTGATTTTCTGTAGTTTTTAAAATTCTCTCACAGTTTATAAAAAATGAATTTTCAAGGACTTTTTGCAGCTTGTCTGATGATTGCTATAATCATTTGCTTGTTAATGTGTTGGAAACACTTCCTGTCAATCATTTTGTGGAAAATATTGTGCATAAGATCCTTGGACAGTGTATGAAATTCTTACATTCTGACATGTCAAATTCAAGTGCAGCAGGTAATGCTTGTTCGTTTTCTCCATGGTTTGTACTTCTATGATTCATATCCTATGTTTGCTTGCTGAAAAGCAGGATCATTTGACCTTTATTGTGTTTAAATACCATGCTTAGGTATCCGGGCTAAGCAAATTTTGGCTGTGATAAACAATCAATATCCATCTGAGCTGCAGGGAGCTGTTCGGAAATTTCTCAAGGTCTGTGTTTCACCTGTGTTTATTGATAAAAATATTTAACGAAATGTGATAAGTTTTAGCAACCATAATTTGCCATTCAGAGCTCAAAATTGAAGTTAGGGGAGGAGGATTCTACTTTTGTAGTTTTCTGTCAGATGCTTGATGGAAACTCAGACCTGCCAATGAAATTGTCCGATTCAAAAGTTTGGTTTTCTCTGGAACATCCTAAGGTAGCTTATTTTGTTTTCCAGTCCCATCTCTCCCTAACCTGCATAGTTACATCTTTTTTGCCCACTTCTAATTTCTTTTATAGTCATGATTTCCTCGCTTTTAGACTATTCATCATTCACAGTTTATTTATAATGGTTTTTTCTTACTTCTTGAATTTTAAGTGTGCTTAATGACAATTACATGCAGGCTTCTATTCGCCGTGCTGCTCTTTTAGATTTAGCTTCATCTGGTAACTTGGAATCTATTGTTGAGCATCCATGGGTATGTAGTGATCTTATTTTTTGCAAGAGTTAGCTTTTGCACTTCTGTTATTAGTTTATTAACCAAATTGTTTTATGATATCCTTATGGGAATCTTTTCAACATGTAAATTTGATTATTAATTTTGTGCAGAAACTTGTCAATGTAAAAGATGCTATACTATGTCGGCTTTTGGATGATGATCTTACCGTTGTCCAAGCAGCGTTATCTATTAGTGAGCTATCCAAAATTGTTAATCCACGTTCTCTTCTCAGGGCATATCACAACGTATTTTTTAGGTGCATCGATTTAATTAAAAAAAGTAAGTGTTGTTGGTTTTATATGTTCTTAGAGTTATTGATTCGAAATTCTATTTTGATTTATCACTTTTGGTTTATTTTGATTAACTCATGATTATGATGCTTTCTTGAGACTTGAGAACTTGTATGATTAAACCTTCTATTGTGATAATCTGTGCCATTTGTTGGATTTTGCTATATGGATAGCCGTTTTCAATACTAAGTATGTTTTTAATGATAAGAGAGGGGGGTTGAAATCATAGTTGTTAACGGTAAATAATGCACCATGGTACAACTCCTTGAAGCCATAGCACACAGCATGGTACAGGGCATGTCATACTACACTAAAAAAATATGAAAAATCACATAAAAATGAAGAATGTTCTAATAGCATAAGGCTAAAATATAGATAATTCATAATAATAAAAAAAATATAAATAAAAAAAATGTTCAAAGCAAATGAAACTCATAAATATTCAATTAATTAACAAGTTCTAAAAGGAACATGTAGGATGTTGTTCATAAAAAAAAATCCAATTTTAAAATTCGTAAAAACAAAGTAAATTAGGGATCTAGTTCTGAAACCTTCTCTTCTTCCTCATCATCACAAAAGAAATGGACTTCTTCATCACCATGTTCATTCCCTACTGGATGATTTTCCTTATCTACTTCATAATTCTCATCAACTAGAGTTTGAGGTCTTGGCAAACTAGGCTCACATTTTTTCTCTTGGAAAAACTTTGAATGTCGTTGTTCTTTTTTGTTTATGACAATAGCCCTAGCCAGATCCCTAAGTAAAAAATTCTTCAACAAACACCACCTCCTTACCCTCAATAGCCCCATGATCCAAAGTATAAAAAATTCACTATCAAAATTTCTCGATGACTCATATGGCACACTGTTTTGATGACACACACCATTACATCACTGTGTGCTTCACAACACTAGTTGTGCAGGGGTGCTTTTGGTTGCGCTGTGCACCATTGTGTGTGCCATAGTGCACTGTTGATAACCGAGTAAAATTATGAGCAACTGCCATTTTATGTTCCATGGCCTCTCATTTTCTATTTTCCCCTTCAACTTGTAAAACATGGTATCTTCATTAAACGTTTGTTTAGTATTATGGGTTTCCATTGAATCCCAATGGTGATCGTTTAAATAAAGGAGGCTCACTTCCGTAAAAAAATATTTTTTGACTCCTTTTCTCTTCTTAATTATCAATGTCTACATTTTTACTAAAATATCTCCTTAAGTAACTTAATATTACTTGACATGGGAAACATTTTTTATTATGAGGCTTTCTCATCGGCTAATAATGTAAGCATGTTGTTCTTAGAAAATAGATTGTGGGCTAGGGTGCTATGGCTAGATTTGCTTCATTATGGAGGTGGAAGATTTTCAAACTAATGAGAAAGTTCTTGTTCTAAAGTAAGGGAGGTAACATTGTACATCAATTCTGCTTCTGGCAGTTTGTTTAAACTTATTTCCCTTGGTATGCTTTTTATGTGCATCTTGAAATAACACACAATTTTTTGATGAGGACATCGACAGACGCTACCTCTCTATTTAATTTCGATCGTAACTCCTAGTAGTTTCACATCATTTTTATGATATCATCAGACGCTAGTGCGTTTCACATAAGATCTCTTTTACCGATAACAAATTGTTTCTATCCAATTAACTTGAAGAATCTCAAGATATTTTGGTCATATGGTTATGACCCTGAATTACAAATTTGAACTTTTATACAGCAGAAAAATGCAGGCAATAGTTGGAGTTTACTTGATGTCAAATTTAAGGTAAGTTCAAACCTCCTATTCTCTAATGGGATTTCTAAAGTCAAAGATACTTTTGAATAAATATTCTTATAAAACCTAGTATTAATTTGAATAATGTTACAATTTCAATAATGTCTCATTTGAAAGGTTCCCAAGCAAATGTGGTATAAATACTTTTTTTCACCCTCTCATACCAAGCAAGCTAATCTTTCTTGATTTTTCCTCTAAGAAGAAGGCTTTCTACCACCCTAACACAAATAAAATATATGAATAAGGTCCAAACAATGCTTTAGTTCTCCATTACTTAGAGTGCAAGTTCTAATAGGTTCCATCCATTTGAAGTGGTAGTAAATCCTTTGTAATTTTTCCTATAAAAAGGCTTTCTACCACTCTAAATCAAATAGATTATATGAATAAGGTCCAAACAATGCTTTAGTTCTCCATTACTTAGATTGCAAGTTCTAATAGGTTCCGTCCATTTGAAGTGGTAGTCAAGCCTTTGTAATTTTCTATTTCTTAGGTAAACCATTATGTTCATTGTTATTCATTATAGCTTTTTCTTATTGATTACGTGAATCCTCATTCTCCATGTATTCCCAGTTAGTATGGTTTGATGTGTTAAATATCTTTTGAATAATTTTTTCTCTTATTTCCATGTTTTCTATGGTCTATACCTTTTTCTTTATAAGACTATCTTATTTGTTGCACCTTCTACCCTCCTTTTTTCATCCTATACGGTCTATACCTTTTTCTTTATAAACTTATATATTAATTTTATATACTAACTTATTTGGTGCACCTTGTACCTCCATTTATAATGCTTAAACCGAATTTACATTTGTTTTTTACTATATTATCTTTGATTAGTGCCACTTTTATAGTTCCTCATAGAGTTGTTTCCTAATCTATCCATTCATAGTTTTCTCCAAATTTATCTTAACATCTTTATTCTTGCCACACTAAACTTGGATGGAAAATGGTTTCATTGTAATCCACCATTTATACCCAGATAATATAATGCGCTTTGATTGCAATTTTATAAATTTACCTTTAAGCCCTTATGATATTTTCTTAATCTTTTGATACACCTAACCGCTTCTCCATTTAACCACCCCCCAACATATACTCTCAAAATTATATTCTTATTTATAATCTATTTTTTCTTTAAATATATTGGAGATACTTTCTCTATGCAATATCAACTTTGGCTCTTAATTATCAATTTCTTAAGCACGAAAATTATGTATATATACTCAAAATTTTTCTTTTTTCATACTTATCCTAAGCTACTCTTTTTCTAAACACGTCGTTCAGTGCTCTAAAACTCTTTACTATTTTAATAGAGTTCTCTTGGATTAAATCTCTCTTGGATTAAATCTATATTATAATGATTCGTTAAATTGAACTTGCTTTGTAAGCATCTCCCTAATCGATACTAAAAGTTGCATTTTTAATGTTGGAAACTCTTTACTTGTTCTATGATTTATTCTAATGTTAGTTAATACTCTGCCATATGTTTCTTAATTTACTTCAATGTACTTTTGGTGGAAGTCTATTTCCCTAGATCTTATGCCTTTAAGTTTATAAAAATGCTTGGTCAATTCTTTTTGTGCTGTATACTTTTCCATTAGTTTTCTTAGCGTACGAGTCTCCTCCATGGTGTATCCTCCTAGTATAATTTGAAATTGATTCTCCAAAAAAAAAAAAATATATATATATATATATATATATATATATGATTCTCAAGTTAATATTCTTTTATCATTTCTCCTAACTTCATTGTTTTACAATTAAGTTTGATTCCCTATAATCTTTATAATCTTGGATATCTTTGTTCTTAAATTATCCTCCTAATATAATTTGAAATTGGTTCTCCAATATCGATATGATTCTTAAGTTAATGTTCTTTTATCATTTCTCCTAATTGTATTTCAATTAAGTTTTATTCCCTAGAATCTTTATAATCTTGAACATCTTTGTTCTTAAATGCTAGTAACAAATGCTTCATTTCGAACCAATTGGCATCTCTATTCCCTTTTAAGGCTCGAATGAAAAGATTTTTTAATTACTATAAATATCTTTTGTAACTGTCCAATTCCTTGGAATTATCTTATATGTGCCGAAAATTTAGATTTATGCATGTTCTTTTGGTCTAACTCAGTTTTTTTTTTTTGGATCAATTTGAATGAGTATATAAATCTAGTGGGGACTGGAATGATTTTTAAATCACATGAAAGAATAAGTTATTTATTGGAAAGGAAAAGAGCTTATAAGGAATCATGTATGTTTTTTCAATTTGTAGGATGTTACATTGAAAGGAAATATAGATTTTGTTTTACTCTATAGGCTTAGTTGTAGGTTAGTTGCATCTAGATTGCTCTATTTGTTGTTTTTTTAGTTTCCCTATCTCTTTGTTATTGATTATTGGTTCTCTCTTTCTCCTTAATTTTGTTTTGGTGTGGCAAAAAAATTAACTATTACCAAGCTTAATAGTGATACTCTCTTTAATTTTTCACGTTGTTACTCTCTTTCAATATCAAACATTTCCTTATTTAAGTTTCATTATTTAGTTATGTATTATATTTTAAAAGTTACTTAAAACCCTCATTTAATAATTTATGAAATTAGAATTAAAAATTTTCCTTCAAATATCTAACGTTAACTAGATCTTATTATCTTCTCTTCTAATAATTCCAAAGATGACCTCTAACTAACTAGTTCGACCCATGCTCCCAAACAAACAAAAAGCTCGGACGGCTCCCATTACCCCACTCACACATGATCTCACAACTGAACCACTCATGTACAAACCCCTCCCCAATCCATTCGCCTCCCTCATTTGCACGAAGGAACTCCATAATTCCCTGGCTCTTTCTCTCCCAATCGAATTGCCTTTGATCTTTAGTTAGGCATAGAGTCAAAGTCGACCGAATGGCCCCCGCTCTCTTTGGTTTGTGCCATTCCGCATCTAGGACCCATGCCAGATCTCCGACAACCCGATTAACCCTCCGGCGGCCCGATACTACATGTCTCCTTCACCCGCGGAACCTCCACACCCGACAAACCTCCAGATATGCCTGTGTCGGATCGTGGTACCCACGTGAACTGCAGGCTGTGCATTCGGCCTCCCTCACTTGCTTGACCAGTCTTGAGTCACGTGAATACCCTCCGTTTCGACGTGTCGCTTTCGTGAAACCAGTTAACTGCTTGCGGGCAATCCACCTTCACTCGAGCAAATCACAAAG